AATTGAAAATATATATATATATGTTTTGACCAAGTGAATCGAAAACATATGTTTTGACCAAGTGAAATATGATACGATGAAGTTAGGAAAATTACTACGGTTGACTAGTATTTCGATATTTTCAAGTGTCTTAAACTATTTTTGATGAAAAAATAATATTGTAAAGAACAAATGATCAGCAAATGTTAAGAACCAATTCGTAAATCTATTGTTTTCTTCAATTTTCAAGTATATGTATAAACGTTAGGTTTCAACTTTCTATAACTGAAGGAGTATAATTCAATTCAGGCCCATGTGTGATTGATGAAGCATACCTGATGAGAGAATGCATACGCCATAGCACGCTCCCTCCTCACAGCAGCTTCTTCTCGATGCTGAATCTTGAAAAGTATTTCCTCCTTTGTTTCAGATCCACCGCACCATTCTACCTGTGATGGTTGAGCATCAGACAACAGATAATGTTATGTCTTTAGTAAATTGACAATTGAGTCAGGATAAACGATACTCTTCAGCTACAAATCAAGTACTTGAAGGAAACCCCAAAATTTTCTCCCTGGAGAGTGGAAGAATGATAACTGTATTCAGAAGAAACATGTTCTTTAAGTCATTAATTAGATTTCAAATTTTGACTAAGATTTTAAACAGAAAAATTAAACGTTAAAAAAGGTGACCATGCGAGCTTATTTAAAAAATAAAAACAAATAATGAAATAAAAAAGAGTACCAAATGAAAATTTAAAAAAATCTAAATAATATTTTTAAAATAGCTCAACAGTAAAATATTATATAAAATGGTTAAAAACGACTAATTTGGAAAGATTTTATGGATCCTAGATTGTTGAAGTAGATATTAAAGAGAATCCCCTGATTTTCTTTAATCGCTATTAAGCAGTGGATTATAAATGAGTACTCAATCAGAATATTAAAAAATTCATGGAAGACAGTTAATGGCACTTACTTCAAGTTCATGAATTTTAGCCTCAAGCTTCAGCTGATTTTCCTGTTTCTTTTGTTTGACTCGATATTCTGCGACCATACAGAGTCTACGTGTTCTAATTTCTTGCTGCATTCTGCTCCATGAATGAATGAAGCTTAACACTTGTTTTGTAGCCGTTTCACCTTGAATTAGATCCTGGCACCTCTCTGGCCCTTTCGAGTCATGTACAATCTTTCTGGCCTGGAAGACAAAAGATTAAACCATCTCATAAAAAATGATCGATTCATTTGTTATTACCATCGAGGTACATGTCTGTATAACAAATAGATCATAGGTAATGTTGGAATCTTCTTTGGTCAGTATAAACGTTGACCGCATCAGCATCATACAAAATTATAGGTTAGGCAATCACAAGTATTGTGGCCAACAAAGTCACAAAATGACAAGATAATGCCTGAAGAACTCATCTTTAGATATGAATCTGGAAAAAACTGAACTCTAAATATGCCTGGAATGTAAAGACGTTTCAGCATCACAAACAATAATATCTAAGTTGAGTGAAGGCAAGCCTCAATAAAAAGTTATTATGAATCAGAACAAAGTAGTTGAATTCGAGATTCTTTGTTAGTTAGTTCACGAGAAACAAGAAGATTATGACTTCGTTCTTGTTGCTGATATTGTTTGGATTGCTCTTCCTTATTCCATCGGTTAATCAAAAACCATGAACTGGGAAATGGGAATAACTTTTAAAACAACGCTATTGAAAAATAACCAAAAGACAGGATGCGAATCACTGATTCTGATCTCTAAAGAAGCAACTCCAGCGTTTATAATTTATTGTAGGGGCATAAGTTAGCCAACAAATTGGATCCAAGGGAGCTGGAAATAAAGCAACATGGTAAAGCTACGGGAAGCTCAATCGATCATCAGTGTGAGAAGAAAGCAAAATAGATAGGTAACAAATTATTAAGCACATTCAATATACCGTAAATGAGCGAAATGCATTTTGAATTCGAGTTGCAGCTAAATCTTCACTCTTTCCATTAGGGGAACCATTGGATTTTCCTGTCTTTACGTGTACCTGACCCATGAACAAGACAGAGCAACTTGCAATAACTGAAATTTTGATAAGAACAAGTGCAAATGTAGTTATTTGAAGAGGAGCATAAGTGGGAAAATGGAGAAGCGAGTTAAGAATTCGATAATAACAGAGACATCATATTTCACTAAGTTTTTGTTTAGAATAATAATTTTTCAATCTCAATTTGTTCTCATGAGAGGTTCATTCAAAAGGAAAGCAAGAGACAGATAAAGCTTTAACAAACTACCACAATAACTGATGTGATTTTTTTTTATGAGAAACAAATATTTCAGTGATATGATGAACAAGGTAAAACTCCAAGCAATAATCAATAAATTAGGAAGCTTATACCTCCAAATATTAGGTAGAGAAATCAAACGTCAAATTTAAGTTGTAATAAGTTTCTCCTGGTTCTGTACTTCAGCAGAAGTTAGTAACCAGAGACGACGCACAAAATACAAGACTAAAAGCCAAAAAATTATTGAACTGAGTAATCTTCACAACCAACCTAATCAATTCCCTTTTTTATGCCCGAATATTGAGGTTCCTGCTAAGTTCCCAACAAAAAAATATATATAAACCTTTGCAATATACAAACATGCATGAAGAAATAGAGAACGATGAAAAAACTGTTACTATAGCCTTAATTCATATCTTCAAGAGAGAACAAATGATACAGAAAGCTTACCTGTTCTCCATTGCTTGAAACATGTTTCACCTTCCGTTGGTTGAATATTGTCCAAAAACAACTTGCTGGACTCATTCGTATCCAACCAGAATGCTAATCAAAATGGAAAATGCAAAGTGCACAGATTAGAGTCTCATACTCCTACTCATCACAGATATTTAATCAAATAGATTATATGCTCTACTGGAGAGTAAACAGGGCATGCCAGACCCCTAACTGAGAGACCCCGAATGCAGAAAAACCCGTGAACCACCAGACAAATCAAGATAATTGTTACAAAACCTAAAACTAATTCACAACCAAAACAAATAGATCCTTCTCGTCATCACCATTAATCCTCCATTGCGTTCATACTTCATAGAGGGTTCGCAATCTAAGATTCGAAGTACGGTGCACATAGATAAACAAAAACGAATGCTAATCAAAATGAAAAACATAAAAAAAAAAGTTCATAAAATTACAAAAGGTTCATATCCATACCCTTCGCAGACATTACAACAAATAGATTATGTGCTTTCTGAAGTGTGAACAATGCACGCAATCCAAATGCAGAAGAAACAAATAACCATGAACTGATCGACACCGTAATAAATAAGAAATGCAATACAAAAAACAACAAAAGCTTACCGGATGATTTCCCTTCCTCTATTGAATGAAACACAAAATGTAAAACGATAAAAGACAAAACAATCTTAAAAAACGAAACAAGAGCTTACCAGTGGAGAAGCAACAGATAGCGTCCGGCATGGAGGGGCGAGAAGGAGTAGAAATAGAAGGTTAAGTAAAAGGCAAGAAAAGGAATAAGAGAAACAGAGAGAGGAGGCGTAGCTCCATCAATGAACATGGTTATAGAAATGACAGCACAACCAAAACGAAGCCGCTGTTTCATCTCTGGAAGATGAAGTGTCACCTCTCTAATGGCGGAGTGAGGAAGAAGAGTGATGGAAGAAAACAGGTCGCCATTGGAACTGAACCTTCTACTGTGCGCTAAATGCGATGGAAATAAAATAATTTTAATTTTTTAATAAATAAATAAATAAATAAATAAAAATATATATATATATATAATAAATAACATTGGTCCCGGCGGGGCTCGAACCCGCGACCTTCGGCTCATAAGACCAACGCTCTAACCAACTGAGCTACGGGACCTTGTTTGATATTAGAATAAAATATTTAATATTTTTATTATTATATTTTATTAAATTTTAAATAGTATTTAGTACCTAAAATCTCAAACGAATAATTAGCTCTGTGAACAAAATTTTATCGCATGTTTCTATTTTTTTTTTTCATGAGAATTTTTTATTTATTTATTGTAAAAAAATAATATTAATTGAACAATTACAGATTAATTTGAGATATAAAAAAACGAGTAAAAAATATTAATTGATTGATTTATTTTAGGCATTAAAGGATAACTAATGTTTGTTTCATGTGAAAAGAAAATGATATATAATCTTACCAAAATTATTGAAGGAGAAAGAACGAGAGTGCAAGTGGGCACGTGTACAAAAATAATTAATAACAATAAACGCTAACATCAATTGGTCCCGGCGGGGCTCGAACCCGCGACCTTCGGCTCATAAGACCAACGCTCTAACCAACTGAGCTACGGGACCATGTTTGATTGTGACATATCATTATAATTAAAAATTTGTTTAATTTAGTTATTTTTTTGAAATTTCTAAAAAATGACACTTCATGTTTTTATTATTATATTCTTTTATTAAAGTTTAAATAATATTTTAGTAAAAAGATAAATTCATGCCCTAAACTTAATGCATGATTTTTAAACGATATTCTCATCTTCCTCTTTTTGTTTCAACTTATTTATGAATATTTATCTTTTATTTTTTATATAAAATATTATTTAAGTGGTTTATAATTGAGTCGAGATAAAATTAAAGTGGGAATAGTTAAAAGAAACACGATTTACCATCATTCAAATTTTTAACACTAAGCATTTATATCGGGTTTCTAAGTCTCTTAACCTAATTAAACCTAACCCACAAATAAATCATCAAATTATGGATTAAATTTGTTAATTGATTTGAATTTTGTTTAGAGTAATATATGATCCGAGATGAACAATAAGAGTCTAAAAAGGAAGTGAACGAATTAGACAACCGAGGATTTGGGCAGGAAGAAACCGGAGAATCTTATTTATAGAGTTGATTCAACTTTCCCGAGATCATGCTATGAGGGTATTGCACATTCTCCTCCCCAACCGATATGAAACCTCACAATTGGTCAATCACATGATGATGCAAAGACTCGTAATAATCTTCGAAGTTCATCAAATGTACATAGTCGAACAATGCACCTTCATTACCAAGTCAGTACAGAAGATGATAAAGAAAGAAGTCTGTACAAAGTTTTATAAATACAACAGGATCCATGTTCTGGAAGCCAACAAATAAATGAGCTGGACACTTACTTTTTAAGTCATATATATATATATATATTTATATGCAAATTCATATACAAAAGTCATCAAAAGACAGCTAACTGCAGTGATAGATAGATGGGTTGTAAGGAACGGCATACAGAGCTTCTTGATTTTAACTGCCTGATAGTCATCGTTCCTTCCGATCTGTCGCCACTGCTTCCGATTTGCAGATGGGACAGACATTCTTGACAAGCAGCCACTTCTTTAAGCAGCTTGCGTGGTACTCGTGCCCGCAATCGAGCGTTCCAACTTTCTCGCGGTTCTTATAGTGATCCTGTAAAACCAATGAGGATCATCAAACTTGCAAGATAAAACTCAAAACCAGAGATGTAAAGAAGATAAAGACACTTTAATCTTTTACCTGGCAAATGATACAGTAATCCGCGCCCTGATCTAAACTTGAACCCTGCTCGTCCTCGTCCTCGTCCTCCTCCAGATTAACAACTATTGTAGGTGCTACATAGCTTCTCGTCTTTAATTGAGTTTTGATGATTTCCTCTGTTAATCCAGTGCTGACGTTGCCGATTCGCTCTCCTAAAGCGAGAAGTTCCTGCATAAAGCCCTTTTGTAACTCAATGCTTGCTTCATATAGATGATTAAAACCACCAATAGATAGTGATTGGTTATCCCTGTGTTTGATTAAACCCATGCCATCTCCATATAAAATCAACAAATCAAGTCATTCTAGCAGCTAAGTAACATGAAGATTAATGTGGGTACAGTGACATGGCCTTTTCTTAAAGAATTGGTACAAACAAAACAAGATCCAGTGTTTTCAACGCACTCGCCTCGACTAAATTAACTATTCATGTCAAGTTTGAGAACTAAAACAAATAATTGAAAGTTGAAAGACAATAACAAACAATTTTTTCTGAGTTCAGAACATTCAAGATTGGGGAGTTAAACCTCTGACTTCTTCGTTATCTATACATGTCTTAACCAACTGAGCTATGCTTAAAATTGGAGAAAGACTAATGAAAAATATGTAAAAAAAATAAAAAATATACCTATTTTCAAATAACTCGAGGTGTTTGTAGATCATATATTCAAATAATTTTAATGTGTGGCCTTAGCTACACCTATGTTTAAATAACTACATATGCCTAGTTATGTAGCGTCTTAACACAAGAATTTTGAGCTAGAGGATGAAACAAGTAATTTATCTAAATTCTAGCTTAAGGATGAAACAAGTACTTAGTGTCAAAGTGTTCGGTGTGTGACGAAAATTACAATCAATAACTTACCTCATAAGACATATCCTCTATATCCAATCGCATGTCCCTGTGATGGTCTACGGAATTTCCGACTTCGTATAAGTCTGGAATCTCCAGTAATGCAACTTCCTGTAAGTACCAGTTTGCTCATTCATAAGCTACTAATGACTAAAGAAAGTCAAGCTATTAAGAAGAAAATGTGTTATACGAGGGAATAAGTATTACATCAGCCTGCAAGAATCTCAACTGAGAAATGTTATGAGGTCTAGTTGTAGTGTCGGGAGCAACACCCGCTCGGGGAAGCCGGTGCAGCCCATGACCAGTAGGTGCAACTACTCCAGGTTGCCTACGCCCGATCTCCAGATTATGAGGATTCATAGTTCCATATGAAGAATTCAAGGGAAATCCATATAAAGCTGCTGTCACTTGGGGGTAGGACTGGAAATTGTGGCCTCTAATTCTTTGCACAACTGCAGATGGGTGATTGTGAATGTGGTGGCCATGGTTAATGGAAGGATGTTGGATATTTCTAGAATTCCTGTTCCCCGCTGTTTCGTGATATCTATGCACGCCGACGTTCATGGTTTCCAGCAAACCTCCATTCGTATTCGTTCCTGTCGAATATTATAACAGAAGGCTTACATAAGAGAGGTTTTTCACAATTCAGTAATGTATACATATGCCATTTTAGCTTGGCTCAGTGTTCCAGCAATTATTTGCACAATCAAAAGCCATCACCTGATACATAAATTTTTTAATATATGATCCCTAAAGTTCATAACAATTGGAGGTTGAGGTGTAGTTTGAGAATGCTGTTAACATTAACGCAGACAGGGTCGTAATTAGAACCAAAAATAGATATAGGAAAAGATACCGTGCATGAACGGTGCAGTAGACGTCTGATTCCAAGAAGAAGCACTTCCATTGCCACAATTAGCCTGCAAGTGTTGGTCTAACCAGAAAGTAGAATTTGCAGGCTGAAGGTGTTGACCCCTATTATTTCCAAGAGTTGAAAGATTGTGGTCTGGAGGTAGAACAGGGTCATGCCTAGTTCCAGTTGATCCAACTCTAATGCTACTCCGAGGTCCACTCCATCTACTCTGAGGCAAGGGGAAAGATGATGCTTCCACCATAGCAACCTCGTCGGGATGCCTTGAATTCGACAAATGCACTGAAGAACTAGAGCTGGCCAGACCGTTCAAGTGTTGAACGTTCCCAGGAATCCCTTCTGTAATTTTTCTCTTGCGTGGATCGCTAACTTCATCTACAGAAAACGAATTCCTACCATAGCCATCAGAAGAAGTTTGAATGACCCCATAATTGCTAGAGGATGGCAAATGGTCGTTCACGTTATGATTTAGGGGTGCAGGTAATAACCCGTTACTCGATGGCAGAGTAACATAAGAGTAATAATAATTTCCAGGAGCTGGAGTGCTTAAACCTAAACTATGATGATGTTGAACACTACTGTACTGATTTAAACCATGTAACATTGAGCCATCATAAGGATCGGGAAGATAATGCGCCTCGGGATTCGGTGCACTCCCTGAAGCTGTAACCATGGAATGCATACTATGCTGAGGGAGGTTAGATATGCCTGGCAGAATGACAGATGGCTCGGCATGAAGATAATTCTGACCTAGTCGGTCCATTTCTAAATCGACCATCGGACTAGTGTGTGGTATTCTCTGCCTCATGTTGATAATGAAATTAAAAGATATAGGAAAGTTATCTGCTCATGAAAGAAAGAAAAATTCATTATGAGAAAACTGGACAACTTAGTATTAAAATGCATATCTTCACATTTGACGTCTAGAAAGTTGAAAAATATTTAATATCCGAGACAGGCGTTCCCGAAGTAGAAGGAAAATATTTCATATTTAGATGACTGAAAGACATTTAACTGATGCAAATGCATTTTTTCAATAAATGAGAAATTATTAGAAGAAACATTATATTTCAAAACTTTCAAACAACCCTAAAGAATATAGATGGAAAGTAAAGTCTGAAATCAATAACTACTTCTGTCTAATAGTTTAATACTTAATTACCGGTGCTTACGTAGTAAAATCTGAGTTGAAATTTCATTAACTACGACTTGTACAATATACTTGATATTTAGAAAAATTGAGTGGAACAGTGTAAAAGCCCAAGCCCACCGCTAGCAGATATTGTTCTCTTTGAGCTTTTTGTTCTAGGCTACCCTTCAAGGTTTTAAAATGCGTCTATTAGGGAGAAGTTTCCACACCCTTATAAGGGAAGCTTCGTTCCCCTCTCCAACTGATGTGGGATCTCACCAGCGTACTCGCTAACACAACGCCCAGTGTCTGGCTCTGATACCATTTGTAACAACCTAAGCTCACCGCTAGCAGATATTGTCCTTTTTGGGCTTTCCCTTCTGAGCTTCCCCTCAAAATTTTAAAATGAGTCCATTAGGGAGTGATTTCCACACCCTTATAATGAATGCTTCAACGCCCAGTGTCTGGCTCTAATACCATTTGTAACAACTCAAGCTCACCGCTAGAAGATATTGTCCTCTTGGGGCTTTCCCTTCCGAGCTTCCCCTCAAGGTTTTAAAATGAGTCCGATAGGGAGAGGTTTCCACACCCTTATAATGAATTCTTCGTTCCCCTTTTCCATCGATGTGGGATCTCACAGTCATTTTAAGAACTAATATTAATGCCCATAAACCGGGATTAAAATGTTGAAGTCAAGTAAAATTGTCTGTTGTAAAAGTTATTAGTTCATAAACATATAAAAGTTAAGCTGTAGAGGCAAACATACATCTACTGCTAAAAAACTAAGGGTGAATGAGATGGAAAATATAGCAAAAAACAGGACAGAAATCAAGGGATAACTGGGCAAGCAGATCTATTATTTGTAACAAAAATGTCGAAGACATGTATGATAGCTCCACCAAAAAGAACGTTTTCGAAAATAAAGAATTGAAGGATGCTTGTCTCGTAAACCAGAGAAAAAAAAACAAATAACAAAAACAAAACTCAACTTCTGGATGAGGATTTGAACGGATGGAATATAAAAGCAGAGAATATATCGAGGGAAAAGGAAAATTATCGACTAACCAAACACTCCCTTTCTAATCTGAGGAAGAAGAAGTGAATAAGAAGGTAGAACTGACGTCGTTATTTATGTTTGTTCGAATTTTCCTAACAGAGAACGAATAATTCCATTACAATTCCCAGGTGCAGGACCGAGCGCCCACTTTTCCAATAGTAAACGCAACCCATTGCAGGATATCAGAACAATACCAAATGATAGTAAAAAGAAGGGAAAAAAAAAAAAAAAAAAAAAAACATCTCCTCTTACTAAAACCTTGGAGCCTAAATTCGACATCGAACCACAAAACCATAGTTGAAAGTCGTACCCACTCATTCAAACATATGGTACACGTACAACGTCTACCGAGTACCCACCAGCCACATTAAGAAACTCCAGAAATAACCTTCGAGTTTAAACGCTAAGGTATCCAACTAAGCATGAACATAAACTTAATCCACCTATTCAAACTCCTGCAGAGAATCTGATAGCATAGATATTCCCCTCTACAGCCAAGCATTCTATGATCGCTCGACGAAACTCATAACACCGAGATTAACGTGTCAGTGATCATGATTCAAAAACGAATCAATCAGAAACAAAAATAAACAGTAATGAAAAACATCCTTGAGCAAAACTTTACTTCGGTGAAGGTATTTTGTTCAGTAAATCTGAGCTTTCTCTTCAATTAACCTACCTCTTTCATATCCAGATTCAAATCATCCATACGAACACAAACCACCACATATGGGAAACAATCAAACTTAAAGATGTCAAGGCCGGTAAGAAGAACCATCAAAAATTAATTAGCGAACAGTTCAATCCATTTACTGCTAAATCAGTGTCCTACCAGTATTTTCACGATGAACATGCTGCTAATAAACTTAAAATTTTCTTCATAAAAAATCCCAGATACTCCCTCAGTTCATAACCATATCGTAGTTTAGGGAACAAAAAATAAACAAAAGAAGATAGATCGCGAAGTTCTACGAATTTCTTTGCGAATCTTCGAAGGCTCGCACCAATCCAACAAGAAAAAAAAAATCCAAGACGATTAGGGCCGATAATTAGGTACCTTGGAGTCATGAACAAATTTTGTGATCAAACGCGTCTGAACTTCAAAGACGATTGAGCCGATAAAATACCCATACAAAATTATCACCGATGCCTGAAAAAATCATAGAAAATACTGGATTTCATTACCAAAAAAAGAGACGTAATCAATCAAACATCGAAAAACCACAAAAAAAGAATCCATTACATTAGCGATGAGGAAGAACCCTAAAGCTCAAAATTACTCAAAATTAAGAACAATCAGCAGCAGTTGTTACAAATCAAAATCAGAATGATAAATTCCATTACAAAAGGGAACTGACCAGAGGCAAGAATGAATTTTTATTTTTTATTTTTCCTTTTTCAGGAGAGAGAAATGATGAATGTCCTTGTCTTTTTATCGCTCGTTCTCCTCTAATTTCTGTGCATTACATTATAACGAACCCTTTCTTTTCTCTCTTCCTTTTTTTTCAACTTTTTTCCCCTTTCTTTAACCGTTAATTTGTTGGGTCCGTGAGCTTCCTGTTTCTTTCCTCTAAAAACAAAATTAAATATATATTAACAAAACATTATTTATTTATTTATTGCTAATATATATATATACACACATATGTACGACACTCGAGTAAAAGTAAAGTACATTAATAAATCGAGAATATTTCAAAACAATTGATAATTACGTGTACTTAGCTTGAAACAATTACAATTGGGCGACACCCTTTGAGTAGGGGTATACACGGGCTGGTTGAGTTGGTGATTTGAGTCACTCGTATAAAGTTTATTAGACGAACACGACTCTACACAATGGTATGATATTGAGTTAGTATTCCTCACTTATAAACTCATGATCATTCCCTAAATTAGCCGACGTGGGACTTTCATCGTCCAACACCTCCCCTCGAACAAAGTGCACCTCCCCTTAATCGAGTCTCTACTTCTGTGGAGTCTTAGTCATTTTTTACTGCCTTCGATGAGGCTTTTCTTTTGGAGTCCATTGTTCGACATTAGTCAATGTGAGACTTTCATCATCCAACACCTCCCCTCGAACAAAACACGCCTCCCCTTAATCGAGGCTCGACTTCTTTTGAGTCTTAGTCATTTTTTACTGCCTTCGAGAAAGTTGGCTCCTTTTCTTTTGGAATTCTTTGTTCGATATTTGATGATTTACCAATCTTTTGACATGACTAAGTTTAGGGCATGACTCTGATATCATTGTGGAGAGTTATGTTCATCTAACAAAGTTCACAATTTCACCCATCATTGATAGTTATGTATGTTTAGCTCGAACAATCTTGATTGGACGACGTCCTTCTAGTAGGGGTATTACCCGAATAAAGCTCATAACCTCACCTAACCGAGAGTTGGGAGTAAAGCTATTTTTTTAAATTATTAAAAAACTATATTTATCCACAAATCACTAATATTTATTAAAATATTATAAATTTATAAATAAGAGTATGTTTTTTTTATTTATAAAATACAAATTATTTTATTTTATACGTTTATAAATGGTTTTATGGACACGTGTTTGAAGTTGTATATAGTTAGGGTTATCCAAATAAATAATATTTATTTAATTAATTTATATCGGTAATATATAAGTTAATTTAATAATTAAAAAAGTAATTTTGAGATAATTTAATTTATTCCTCAACCAATAAGAAAGACACACGTCACATTAACAAAATTGACAAGAAATAAAATGGCCTCTTGGGTTGGAGTTCATTATTTTTCTCAAGTGGGATTAAATTATGTATTAATTATGTGTCAATCATAACATGACACGTGGAATTGAGTAAAAAGACCAACCAACCCCTGAAAAACTTTTATAGAGTTAATATCACTATTGATATAAACCCTAATGATTAATTAGTATTCTAATAATAAATATATTTTTTTCCTATGTGATCTAAAAATAAGCGAGCTATTTCGTGATCTAAGTGAGCTACTTTATGGTACGTGTTGCATTGTGATGAAGACAATATTACAAGATAAGGGTCTCGAGTATCTTCATTTAAGAATGAGTTTTCGAGAACAATGTTAGAAGGCACAAGTGTTCTGACGGTTAATTATTTGTTTAAAAAAATACGTGAACCTTTAATTTTGTTTTATTAATATTTTTAAAAAAAAAATTTAAAAAATTACAAAATACTTATAAGAGTTAAAAAAATATATATTAAAAAACACTTTAAAAAGATTTTAAAAATGTTTTCTAAACCATTTTAAAGTTAAAATGTATTTTTGAAATAAAAATTATCTTGATTTCTATTATTTTTAATTCTTTTTAAAGTTAAAAGTTTATAAGTATTTCTTAAACGAAATAAAAAATCAAAATTATTTTTATTAATTTAACTTACCATTAAACTTTAAAAAATTACCTAAAAATTAATGAATTTGGATATATCTAGTGTTTGACGTATTTTTTATATTTTATAAATTAGCAAACATATTAGATATAAATAAATAAATAAATAAATAAATAAATAAGCGATATCCAAAGGAATATTCTTTGAGTGCAAATGTTGGGAATTGGATCCATCACTACCCCTATGTAATGGCTTTGACTTCTTTGTGGGCCCATCTTTTCATTAAATTTATTTGTTTATTAATATTATAAATAAATAAAAGTGAAATTTTAGTAAGAAAAATTAAAATATATTATGAATTCGATTATTAGAATTCGAAAGCTAAACGTGTTTAACTTAAAGTAATCTTGGGATGATTTTCATAAAAAAAAATTTCTCAAAAATATGTAAGAAAAGACATAACGTGCTGAAATTACTCGTATTGGTCTGATAGTCTTTACTTTTAGTAATGATAAATAGATAACGTGGTCATATCGAGCACTGACAATTAGTTGTTGAATATAAATTATAATTATGATATTAATTAAATAGATAACGTGGTCATATCGAGCACTGACAAAACAATTAGTTGTTGAATATAAATTATAATTCTGATATTAATTTTGGGCATGTAAATATATAATTGAGTAAAAAGGTTTAAAAGTATGTATGAGTAGGTTGAATTTTCAATTTTGTATGATATTTGGCGTGTTAATCCAAATAATTTTCAACCATATGCCCAAACTACCCTCTTGCTTTTCATAATTTGACACTCGACTCCATGGTCGTCCGCGTAACCCTTTTGACCATTTGACCAAAATTTCGGTCAAAATTGGAACCTTTTTAGGCTGGTCAAAAGTTTATTATTCCCAAAGCGTGAACATTATTATTTTTTTTTCCACAATATTAAAATTAAAAAAATAAAGAGTTTAAATTTTGATTCCAACCACTTTTAAAAAATTTCTAACTCAAATTCTTCCCTTTAAAGTAGGTCTTATTTTTTAAAAAATGTAATTTTCTTTTTCATATAATAATTCCTCAAAATTAAAAAATAAAATAATATATATATATACACACATTAAATTATTATTCATGTTACAAAAGAAGTTTCAATATATGTTTAAATTAGACATTATTCATTTGAAATTAAATTTTTTATATAATCCAAAATGCATTAACACGAATAACAAAAACTCATCCTGTTTTGACGGTACAAGAATGTGTGGAGCTCACTATGTTTAAATTTGGGTTAGATTGAATTCACCAAATAAAACTCTAATCTATAAACCGAACCAAATTTTCAGTTCTAAGAAAATTAACCTAACCAAAAAAAAAAAAAAATCTAGCGGGTTGGGTAGTACGGGTTATTGGGTCATTTTAAACACTCCTACAAATAAAGAACAAGTTCAATTTGGGTCGAAGTTGAATGACTAAAAAAAATCGAACTTGTGAACTGAACCAAAATTTAGGTTCTACAAAAATACAATCCAACCCAATCCGAACAAAAAAATATCCAATCGGTTGGGTAGTTCGGGTAACAAAGAAAACGACAAAAACAAAAAATACAGAACCTTTTCAACCTTCAAGTGATTTGACCACAGCTCTTTACTGAACTACACACACATTCCTCATCTATCACCTTCTAACCTTCATAGTTCTAGGCTCCCTCCAATCTGTGACAAGCTCAATCAAAATTCCATCGCTCTAAAGTTTTCACTCTCCTCCATAGATTATTCCTCTGGTTTTCGAGGCGTATTCTTGTTGCCGTATATCGAACCAGTTTCCTGGGGATCGGGAATAGGTTTCCTCTTCTCAATATACCCATGAGGATCCACAGCTGCAAGAGCAGCCCTTTCCTGCTGCTCACGTTTGAGGTCTTGGGAGGGCTTGACCCAAAGGAAGTAGGCGAGGGTTCCGGCAACGACCCAAGAAGCAAGATTGGCACCGCCTCTGAGACCGCCCATCGAATTGCCGATGAGGGACCTGACATTCCCCAATGATCTTTTCCAGCTGCTAGCCATTCTGGAGAGAGAGAGATACCAAACCAAAGAGGAACCAAGGAAGATTTCAGAAGTGAACTCCATTTCAATATACTTGATCTTCAGAAATATTCAGTGGACAATCATTTTACAAACTAATACCAATGCCCATAAACAAAGATTACAAGGTTAGAATTAGGTAAGCATATCCAATGATAACTAGGTGTATTGTCTACTGCTAGTAGATATTGTCCTAGCAGATATTGTCCTCTTTGAGATTTCCCTTTCGAGCTTCCTCTCGAAGTTTTTAAAACTCGTCTACTAAGAAGAGGTTTCCACACCCCTTATAAAGAATGCTTCATTCTCCTTCCCAACCGATGTGAGATCTCACAATCCACCCCATTCGAAGCCCAGCGTCCTGCTGGCACTCGTTCTTCTCTTCAATCGATGTGGGATCTCACAGACTAACTTTCTTGCCGGTGGAAGAAGTAGAGAACAAGATGGTATAGAAGAGACAATAAACTGGCATGTATTAGATAGACATCGGTTAGAAAAAGGAACAAAGCATTACGTATAAGGGTGTAAAAACCTCTACCTAGCAGATACGTTTTAAAAACCTTGAGGGAAAGCCCAAAGAGGACAATATCTGCTAGCGGTGGACTTGGGCTGTTACAGATACGTTCGATGCTCGAGTTTTCCTAACAAGGAATGAATAATTCGATTTCAACCCTAGGTGCAGAGACAGAGAGTTCTCATTTCCATAGTAATAGCACCCCATCTTTGCAGAATTTCAGATCAATAGCAAAATGACAGAGTAAAAAAGGAAGGAAACAAATATCTCCTCTTACTAAACCCTCAAAGAAGAAACGAACATTGGATTAAAAACGACTCTACCAATGCCGAGAAGCCCCTGGCCATGAAAGAAACTCAAGAAATAATCTTTTGAGTTTAAATACCAAGCTAACCAACCATGCATAAGCATTAGCATAAACTTAGTCCACCATTCTGTGAGATCCCACATCGGTTGGGGAGGAAAACGAAGCATTCTTTATAAGGGTGTGAAAACCTCTCTTTAGCAGACGGTTTTACAAACCTTGAGGGAAAGCCCGAAAGTGAAAACCCAAAGAGGACAATATCTTCTCGTGGCGGACTTAGGCCATTACAAATGGTATATGAGCCAAACACTGGGCGATGTGCTAGCAAGGAGGCTAAACCCCGAAGGGGATGGACACAAGGCGGTGTACCAACAAGGACGCTGGGCCCCAAAGAGGGGTGGATTGTGATATCCCAAATCGGTTGGGGAGGAGAACGAAACATTATTTATAAGGGTATGGAAACCTCTCCCTAGCAGACACGTTTTAGAAACCTTGAGGGGAAACCCGAAAGAGAAAGCCCAAAGAGGACCATATCTGCGGTAGGTTTGAGCTGTTACACATTTAAACTCCGGCCGACAGTCTGATAGCACACATACTCCCCTCTAAAGCCAATTCTTAGAATTCAAGAGCTCAGTTCTACAGCCTATACAGCCTATAGAACAGATCCTTTTCAAGTAAGGTCGTTCTACGGCCAAGCATTCTTTGATCTCTTGAGCAGAGTCATAGCACTGAGATGAATAAATGATCACGATACGAAACAAAAATCAAAGCAAAACTCTACTTGGTTAAGGTTTTTGTTCAGTAAACCTGAGCTTTCTCTTCTCTCAACCTGCCTCTTTCACAAGCAAAATGTTGCATAATGTAATTCATTCAAACCCCAGCTCTAACATCCAGAATCCAATAACCCACACGAGTAAAAACCACTAGAAACGGGAATTTTCTAAGCAATCAAAGCACAAATGATACAAAGAATCATAGAAGAACATTTCAAATAAGACTAAAATCGTAACCAGAAACCTAGATCGCAGTTCTTCCCGAAACTCCTCCCTAATCTTCAACGACTCCCACCAATCCAACAAGAAACAAATAAATTCCCAGGAAAATCTGAAGAAATACGAAAGCATAAAGAGAAAGCACTCTGAAACTAAATTCAAGCACCTTGAACTCATGAACAAATACGATTACAGCCGACCAAATACCCACAACAATTATCAGCGAAGCCTGCAAAAAATCAAATAGAAAAGTGAATTCCATTACGAAAATCGCACCAACGTAATTAAACACTGAAAATCGACAAAACCTTTTACATTTGCGATGGAAGAAAACCCTAAAGTTCGAAACCAAAATCAATCGAGACCAGAAACAGCAAAAATTGTATAAAATGGATAAATTTTTACCCTAAATTTTACCACCAAAAACTCTAAATTAATGAACATACAGCAAACATTGACATACCTCAATAATTTATATATATTTATTTCGTTCATATCACAAACCCTAAGGAACTTTCACAAATATGATTTATTTTCTTTTCCTGTGTTTTTCTTGTTCTTTGAACTCGCGTAGAACTGAGAGAGATTAATAATTTTGGTTTTTGACTTATTTTGTAAAAATTAAGATTAAAATTGATATAACTGTCACCCACTATAAAACAATTTGTTCCTTTATAATTGATTCCACTTTTTTTCCACGAGGTCGGGAACTCAAGAACAGGTACAATTGTCTTTATCATGATCGGTTTATCGTACCTCTATTTATGAATGAACCAGCAAATTAGGTAATTGGGTCATAATACAGATAAATAACTCGTTTGCATTGACGAGTTGACGACAAATTTAATTACATAGACAATTTATGGACAAGATCTCACATTAGTTGGATAAAACAATGGAACATTTGTTACGACCTCTTTCTATTATACACGTTTTGAAACCTCAAAGGGAAAGCTTAAAGATTAAGCTATTACAAATGTTATCAGAGCCAGACATTGGATGATGTGCTAGCTAGGACGCTGTGCTCGAAGGAAGGTTGGTAGAGCCAGATACTAAACCGATATTAAACTATAATAATAATTTTTTACCATAGATATTATATCTTTACAAAATTTAAAAGTAATTGTTATAAATTTATGAAGGGATGGATTTTTAAAATTTTGAATAATAAAACACAATATGGATAAATTCAGAAGTAAAGGACTAAAAAAGGATTTTTAACATTTAAATTTTATTTTGTGCGAAAGTACAAAATGGTCCTCCATTCTCCATGCAAGGGTAGAATTAGTTTGAGGTTTTTCTGTAGTTACAGAATTAAGTTGGGGTTATTTTCGTAATTAAATAATGAACGTTTAAATCTCAGATGTCTATAAATGCCACCTCCTCCCTCAATTCCTTGTATCATTCTTCAATTCGGCCGGCGACTCGTCTGCGAAGAGAACGTTAATTCCTCGCAATTCGATCAGCGATCTGGTATGACTTTTTATTCTCTTCTCTCTTTAGGGTTTGTAGTTCTAGGGTTTTATTAAGCCTTCGTCTGGCAGATTATTGTGCCTTTTTCGTAATGCCTGCAACCTAGGGTTCTACTTCTTGTCGTATATTATGGTTTTCTTCCCGTTCTTTTGTAATGTCGGCGTTTTTTTGCGTTTTTTCGTTGCGGGTGGTTATTCTTATTGAATTTTGTTGGTGGCGTGGTGTTGCTCTTATTGAAGATGGGAGACATTGTTTGAGTAACTTGTAGCTATGCTATCTGTGGCGAAAATGGAAATTTTAGTTATTGTTTGCTTTTGGTTATTTTCATAGACGGTGAGTTTCTATGATTCTTTAGGGAAGTGAAACTTGCATCTCTTGTACGATTTTACTTAATTGCGGCCGTCCATGGATTGGGGATGAATTTTTCGGATCAAGAGGATGGGTGATGAATATGAGTTTTTCTGTAGGAGGATTGGTAGCTTGTTGACTGTGCTTGATATGCTTGAAAGATCTAGGCCTGATATCCTTTAAAGTTTGATTACAACGCTCATTTTGAAGACTGATTGATGGTGATATTGTTTATGGATGTGAACAGACTCACGCCACAAGAAATGGGGAAACGAAAGTCAAGTGCAAAGCCCCCACCTAGGAAGAGAATGGACAAGCTTGATACTGTTTTTAGCTGTCCCTTCTGCAATCATGGAACCAGTGTTGAATGTCGCATGTAAGTTCGCAATTTGCATTTGGTTCCGCTTGGGGGGTTCTTGTAACACGTGAGGGAGCGATTTTTTTGAAGGATTTTTATATTTTGTGGCATATGAAAACGCTGGAATAGTGAAAATGTATAATACCAAAAACTTGTGTCCTGGATTGGTCTCTCAGTCTAGGTGCCTTATTTGTTTGGCCTTATAACGAGGGTGTTTGTATGGTTTTAGTGACATGAAGAACCTGATTGGGGAAGCCTCCTGTGGGATTTGCCAAGAAAGCTTTAGCACAACTGTTACAGGTATTCTCTTTGAATCTCTTATTCCACGAGTGTTTGTTTTGTTTTCATTATCTGTTGTGTGCGTTTTACTTTATGCTTCATATTATGTTGTGGCCTGTAATTCAAGCAATTTAGGATTTTTTTAAAGAATATTTTTAATGGGTATTTTTTTGTTCTACTGGAGTAATTTTTTTTTTATCCGAACCTTAAATAGTGCACGGGACTGTGGGATTATTCTAGGGAACCCCATTTTCTCTATGCTCGAAATAGATGGACGAATGGAAGATTTGTTATGCAGTTGAGACTTTTATTCCTGTTGTAGGGAAGTCTATCAGATGAAAATGTGTACCAAGTGTAAGGCATCATGTATGATTTAGGTGGATTTAATTGTTTTCGTGTCGAAGTCTCGGCTTACAACTTGATTCTTATGCACTAATATTTCATTTGTTTTGTTTTGCAGCCTTGACTGAGCCAATAGATATGTAAGTAAAAATTAAACGCAACTGGTGTATGTCGATATTGATGTTCTACAGGGCTTTGGTTGACATGATGTTGTTTTGATCAGATATAGCGAATGGATCGATGAATGTGAGCGGGTCAACAACCCTGAAGAAGACGATGGTGCTTAGAGGGAATCATTGACAATGCTGCATAGAGGGAATCAATCATTGGGGAAGGTTGAAGTTTGCCATTTTTCTATGAGAACGAAGCTTGCTCGTTCAACCGTTCCTTTTACGAATCTTAATTAATAGGGTGACTTACCGGTAGGTATAACAACACTCTTACCCTCGTAGCAGTATAGACAAGCATGTTTGTAATAATAGTATCATACTTTTCCAGAGTTTGTGTGAATTTTCATCTATGTGCAAATGAAGAGTGGGTTTGTGAACCATCCTTTATTATTACTAATAATTCTACCTTGTAGATGAACTATTAACGGACGTTCGTTCCTTCATGCATAAGACTTTTAATATAGTTAATACTGGATTCTCCCTTGATAGTTGATACTGATTCCTGTTCGAGTATATGGTGTTTTGTTATCGATATTTATAAATAATTTAGAGCTTGTTTTGATGACTTTTTAAACGCTTTAAAATATTTTTATGTTCGTTAAATTTGGGGGATGTTTGATAATTTGATATGTAATTTGCTTTATTCTAATACCCAAGATGTTTTATGAATCTCTTTCCATTTTAGTTACAAAAATTATAAAAACATAAACAATTTGTCTTTTATACTCAATGATTTTCCATAAATTGATTGAATCAAGTGATTTCAAATATAGTATATATTTTGAAAAAAAAAAATTTTAATATATGTTTTGAAAAATATATAATACAAATAATTATGAAATTGAAATAAGTTTAAAAAATAGATAATGAAATTAAAATAATTATCTTATGGTTTTTAAAAAATAAATAAATTAAAATAAGTAGATAACTCATCCAAATCATATATGTTTAAATAGATAATAGTTTAATATTTATAGACATTTGGGATAGATATGAACATGAATAATATATATTTAAATAGAAAAATAGTGGTATTTGATTTTATTTGGTACCCACCCACTAAATTTTTCAACAATTTCACGCCTTTCTTTTATACCATATGCTTTTTCTTTTGATTATTTTTATCAAAATAATAAATTTATTTATTTTTAGAAACTTGTTCTTTTATTTCCCATATTTAACTCACATTTTCATTTTAGAAAATACAAATTAATTACAATTAATACTTTTAATACGTGCCCTAGATGCTACGTTAGTTAGTATAATAAACTAACTACTTTATATTTTTGAGGTAACGTTCACTATGTGAACGATGCTATTGGTTACATATCATTACATACCATTCAAAGACGATAGGACGTCAAATATTTTCTATTCTTTTTTATCGAGCAACGTGTAGAGTGGAAATGATTCAAAATTTATGACAGTATAACAACGAATCTACCCAAATTATAACAAGATATTGTTTATATGTCATCGTGAGGTGTTAGAATCTCGATCTCATTTCATTTTTTGACCTCAACGACATATGACGTGAGATAAGAAATGTTCAAACTTCTGATAAGAAAGAACTAGATTTATGACGAATCGATCATTCATACCAAAATCTATATGGTTGAGTAGTTTAGGAACAATATTGATGGCAAGAACATGCTGAGATTTAGGTCTTTTTCTTTGAGGGACACAAGTAATGTTTGACATTTGGTACGAAATCACCTGGAAATTTTGTCTTGCCCTCCGAAAAACGATGAATTTTGGGCTTGAATGTTCAATCTTTATCGCATAATATATATATATATATATACACTCATTTATATCCGCTCAAAGATTTCCGAAAATAACGAATTTCATTTCTGTAGACGGGATCTTCAATTCTGCTCTCTTTTTCCCGGCACTTTTTTTTTTCTTCTTCTCAGTTTCTCTCTCTGCTTCTGCGATAGCGACGCCGAAATCAGAGAAACCACAGCGGAAGGTTTAGCTTATGGGTCGGCCTCCCAGCAATGGAGGCCCTGCCTTCCGTTTCACGGCTCCCGAGGTTTTTTCTCTGCTTCTTCCTCTTCCTCTTCCTCTTCTGTATTTTTCTTATTTTGTTGCTGTGAATGATGCGTCTGTGATGCATGTTCGTTGTTGGAGTTGAAATTTTTTGTGGATTACTTCAATTTCTATGTCTATTGGCTTGATTGATTGTTTTTTCTTTTTGAAATTGTGCTTGCTTTCTTTTGAACTAATTATTTGTTCCTTTATTTTGCAACTTCTATTGTTCTTTCTAACATTTTTCCCGTTTCTTATTCCACTGGTAATTGTGTTCTATCCCTTTGAATTACGATGTCTCGTCCCCAAATTCCTAATTCTGTAATTCGTTTGCTCTAATTGCACAGATTCGATGCTGTGGTTAGTGTAGGTGTAGGTGTAGGTAGCTACATTTAGGTAAGAGCTGCAGCGAGAGGGGACTGTGGGGCTTACTGGATAACGATAATTTGGAATTAGAGTGCCATTTTTAATGAAGTTGCTGGGAGTTAAACTTTTGGAGCATTGTTGTTGATAAAATTTGTTCCAGACCCAAACGAAATAGATCTATCCATCTAAATTTTTGTGGAAATTATGTTTACCTTCTGCAATTCAATCTGCAACAAGTTAATTAGTACATTCTTGATAAGGAATTGAAAACTTTTCAATCAAATGAAGTTTTCTTTTCTTGCTTGAAGGCTCCTATTATAGTTGTTTCTAGGCGCTAAAGTCTTACAGGGTACACTTCCTCGAAACTTCCGGTGCTGTAATGTTAAATTCTTATTTTGATCAAGGTTGCGGAGATGGACGCTATATTGCAAGCACACAATAATACCATGCCAGCTCGGGAAGTTCTCGTTGCCCTTGCTGAGAAGTTCAGGTGGGCATTGAGCAGTAGGCTTACTATTGTTTTTATTAAATTTGAATTGATCTTCTTGTGTTTTTTCTATAAGACAAGATTGAATAGTGAAAAGAATAATTTGTTTATGTTGTTATAGTGAATCGGTAGAACGGAAAGGGAAGATTGCTGTGCAAATGAAACAAGTATAGTGACTTCTGTTCTGTACTCGACCTTGATATGATGATAGGTAGTGGTGTTCTGCTGATTATTATTGTTATTTCTTAGGTTTGGAATTGGTTCCAGAATAGACGATATGCTATAAGAGCGAAGACAACCAAGGCTCCTGGAAAGTTAGCTGTCTCTCCAGTTGTCCAAATCGAGTCAACTCCCGTGAGAAATGTGCCTCAAACCACAGTTGTTCCTGCTCCTGCACCAGTAGGTATTAAAAAAAATTGTTATGTTTTTGAAGTTTTTAAATATTTTCGTTTTCTTATCCTGTTCGTTCTTTTTTATTTCATCTTTATTATGAGCTTATCACTAAAAGATCTATTCTAGTAAGGTATATGTGAGGCTTGGGGTTTGTGGCCCCTAGTCTTCATTTTAATTTCTACGTCCTTAATGAAATTACCATGTAAAAACAAATTTCAAATTGAGCTATGGTTGCTCTTTTGGTCCCTTTTCCCTTCTCAAGGGTTTTCGTCTAGCTCTCTTTTCCACCCGCTGAACATTCCCTCATTCCCCCAATACCCCCGCTTTTTCCTTGATTTGGAAGGTTAAGATTTTGAGGGTTATATTATTTGCGTAGCATGTCTTACATGAGAGAGTTAATGCTATAGACCACGTGTAGAGGGACTCTGCCCACTTTTTCCTTGATTTGGAAGGTTAAGATTATGAAGGTTATACTTTTTTGCGTAGCATGTCTTACACGAGAGAGTTAATACTATAGTCCATGTGTAGAGGGACTCTACCTTCTTTTGAATCTCAAGCATTAGAAATCCATGAGGTATTGTTTTTTCTTTTAAATCGTGGGTTGACCGTGTTTATGTTCTGTGAAGAACTATAATTTTTAGAATGGCTTGGTGTGNTCATTTCTGTAGACGGGATCTTCAATTCTGCTCTCTTTTTCCCGGCACTTTTTTTTTTCTTCTTCTCAGTTTCTCTCTCTGCTTCTGCGATAGCGACGCCGAAATCAGAGAAACCACAGCGGAAGGTTTAGCTTATGGGTCGGCCTCCCAGCAATGGAGGCCCTGCCTTCCGTTTCACGGCTCCCGAGGTTTTTTCTCTGCTTCTTCCTCTTCCTCTTCCTCTTCTGTATTTTTCTTATTTTGTTGCTGTGAATGATGCGTCTGTGATGCATGTTCGTTGTTGGAGTTGAAATTTTTTGTGGATTACTTCAATTTCTATGTCTATTGGCTTGATTGATTGTTTTTTCTTTTTGAAATTGTGCTTGCTTTCTTTTGAACTAATTATTTGTTCCTTTATTTTGCAACTTCTATTGTTCTTTCTAACATTTTTCCCGTTTCTTATTCCACTGGTAATTGTGTTCTATCCCTTTGAATTACGATGTCTCGTCCCCAAATTCCTAATTCTGTAATTCGTTTGCTCTAATTGCACAGATTCGATGCTGTGGTTAGTGTAGGTGTAGGTGTAGGTAGCTACATTTAGGTAAGAGCTGCAGCGAGAGGGGACTGTGGGGCTTACTGGATAACGATAATTTGGAATTAGAGTGCCATTTTTAATGAAGTTGCTGGGAGTTAAACTTTTGGAGCATTGTTGTTGATAAAATTTGTTCCAGACCCAAACGAAATAGATCTATCCATCTAAATTTTTGTGGAAATTATGTTTACCTTCTGCAATTCAATCTGCAACAAGTTAATTAGTACATTCTTGATAAGGAATTGAAAACTTTTCAATCAAATGAAGTTTTCTTTTCTTGCTTGAAGGCTCCTATTATAGTTGTTTCTAGGCGCTAAAGTCTTACAGGGTACACTTCCTCGAAACTTCCGGTGCTGTAATGTTAAATTCTTATTTTGATCAAGGTTGCGGAGATGGACGCTATATTGCAAGCACACAATAATACCATGCCAGCTCGGGAAGTTCTCGTTGCCCTTGCTGAGAAGTTCAGGTGGGCATTGAGCAGTAGGCTTACTATTGTTTTTATTAAATTTGAATTGATCTTCTTGTGTTTTTTCTATAAGACAAGATTGAATAGTGAAAAGAATAATTTGTTTATGTTGTTATAGTGAATCGGTAGAACGGAAAGGGAAGATTGCTGTGCAAATGAAACAAGTATAGTGACTTCTGTTCTGTACTCGACCTTGATATGATGATAGGTAGTGGTGTTCTGCTGATTATTATTGTTATTTCTTAGGTTTGGAATTGGTTCCAGAATAGACGATATGCTATAAGAGCGAAGACAACCAAGGCTCCTGGAAAGTTAGCTGTCTCTCCAGTTGTCCAAATCGAGTCAACTCCCGTGAGAAATGTGCCTCAAACCACAGTTGTTCCTGCTCCTGCACCAGTAGGTATTAAAAAAAATTGTTATGTTTTTGAAGTTTTTAAATATTTTCGTTTTCTTATCCTGTTCGTTCTTT